CAAAACTTTGCCACAGACAGGGGCCGCCGGTAGCCTCAAACGGAGGGTAGAGTGCTGATAACGTACTCTGAATGCAGCCGTCCAGCGACTCCGAGTCCTGCCAAGAGAGAAAGCGTTAGCGGTACCACGGCACGGTACGCCCCGGTGCCCGGGCGAGCCCTACGCCCAGGAGCACAGCCATCTCCAAACGCAGGAGGAGCGAAGATCAAAAGGAGCAAACTGCCGTCCTTTCTAGTTTTCTTTTGGCACTTGTAATTCCAGGTAAACAAAAAAAAAAAAAAAAAAGCTCTCCCAATCCTGCCAAGAGAGAAAGCGTTAGCGGTACCACGGCACGGTACGCCCCGGTGCCCGGGCGAGCCCTACGCCCAGGAGCACAGCCATCTCCAAACGCAGGAGGAGCGAAGATCAAAAGGAGCAAACTGCCGTCCTTTCTAGTTTTCTTTTGGCACTTGTAATTCCAGGTAAACAAAAAAAAAAAAAAAAAAGCTCTCCCAAAACGCCAGCGAAGTGCTCACGGAGCGCTGCGCGCAGCGGCGAGATTTCCCAGCTTTTGCTTACGCAGCAAGTCCTGCTCCCGACTGCGCTGGGTGGGGCTGCTATTAAACCATCACCGCAGCACGTGAGTGCGTGCGAGCGAGCCAGAGTATCATGGGTGGATGGATCGGCAGGATTGGCAGGCCCCACGTTCCGGACACCCGGGGCTGGAAATGCCAACCAGTGCTCGGGTACATTAAAGCCCTGTGTTACGCTCCCCAGAGGGCTGAGGGGAGTTGCAGGGGCAACAGTTAGAATCACGGAATGGTTTGGGTTGGAAAGGACCTCAAAGATCATCCAGTTCCAACCCCCTGCCATGGGCAGGGACACCCTCCACTACACCAGGTCGCCCAAAGCCTCATCCAACCTGGCCTTGAACACTTCCAGGGATGGGGCAGCCACAGCTTCTCTGGGCAACCTGTGCCAGTGCCTGTGTTCCAGTCGTGCTGAAGCACCTCAGCCTACTGCCCTTGGAAGTCCCTGTGCAGGATAAGCTGCCGGAGCTGTTCACTACCAAGGAAGGCCGCTCACCAGTGCTATTCTTCGTTATTCAAAGTTGTTTGCCTCTCATGAAAGGGTCACTCCAGGATCCAGGAATTTTCCAGCATGAGAGGTGCCTCACGACAGGATCTGCAGGCTGCACGTGAACACAGTTGCCTTTGGTGCCCAAGCACGGGCATCAATATGTCGGATGCCCGTTTCCTGCCCAGGGATCAGAGGCGATGGCTTCCCTACTTCCACCTTCATTTGGGAAGAGCCTTCCAGCCAGAGCCTGCCCACGGTGTCAGGACCAATTCCAGTGCTAGAGGCCAAATTCTGATCTATGGCATGGGTGTAAAATCAAGAGAGCTTGCCAAAAAAAAAAAAAGAAAATAAATCTGTACACATCTGGAGAGAGGATCAGGATCTCTCCTTTCCTTTCTAGTTAATGGGGACCTCTCTGGCTGACTTGCAGCCAATGGGAGGGGGTTTTGATACAAAATCAAATGAAAGTTTACTCAGGTGTCTGGCCAGATCCTCATCTGATCTAAATCCACCTCCCTTCACTAGAGACAAGAAAAGCATTTCAGCCGCTGGCCCAGGCGCCCTACAGCCTCCTGCAGAACAGGAACAGCTGCATGGACATGCCTGAAAACATACCTCAGTCCCACAGCAAGATTGGGAGAGAAAGTTAAACAAAGCAGCGCCACGACAGCTTACGCTGTCACCAGGGAACAGGAGAACGAAGGGATCAGGAGGAAACAAACTGGTTTGCTTCTTCCACACCGAGGGAGCACATGTTCATCGCTCCAGGTACCTCCACTGGCCTGAGAAAACGCCGGAGTCTCAGGAGAAGCCTAAATCAACCTGCAGTGGCAGCAGAAACGATGCTCCTCGCACAAGCCTTCCCATCTCTCGAAGCTGCCCAGCTCAACTATCTTTAAATTCCTCCTTTTGAGGGTTGGGCGTTTTAAGCACAATGTAAACTCCCTGCTCTGTTGTAACACCTTCTTGTAGGACAGCCTGCGGAATTGCACAGGGAAGATGAGGACACCCAGGCGATGCCTCGATGGTCCCTGCCTGCACCGAGCTGGCAGAATATGGGTGGCAGCAAACCACACGCTGCCCATGGCACAGCACTGCTCCATTACTTTTTCCTGTTGTTTCTCCTGATGTCAGCAACAAGCAAGGCTTGATGGCAGCAGGCTCCTAAAGCGCTTGCAGCTCTTTGGAGAGACCAGCTGCCTCCTGCAATACCCCTCGAGGTCAATGCAATTGGATAAATAGAGTTTAAGGAGCTATTTTTCATATTCTTAACCCAAGGACTCAAAAAGCAGGAGCCTTATGTGCACGCTTCCTAGCGTTGAATGCTAGGACTGAGCATTTAACCCCGATCCTAAATGGGAGAAGAATGTTTTAAACAAGCTTCTTTCCACTCAAAAGAAGGATATGAACCCTCAACTTTTATTCCATTAATTGAACTGAAAAGCCTGGAAGTTCCCAGGCACTTCCTTCTCTGCAGGAACAGGTCTTCAGAGAAAATCTTCCACTAGCTATTGTGGAGGTCAAGAGAATATTGCCAAGAGCTGACAATCATGGAATCACAGAATGGTTTGGGTTGGAAGGGACCTTCAAAACCATCTAGTTCCAACCCCCCTTCCATGGGTAGGGACACCTTCCACTACACCAGGTTGCTCAAAGCCTCATCCAACCTGGCCTTGAACACTTCCAGGGATGGGGCAGCCACAGCTTCTCTGGGCAACCTGTGCCAGTGCCTCACCACCCTCAGTGTAAAAAATTTCTTCCTTAGATCTCAGGGAAATCAGCCTGCTCTGTACAGCAGCTTGCAGCCCTCTGCACAATTCTGGTCAAGACCATCCCCATGTGAGGTATGAGGGGAGAGCTCAGCAGAGTTCAGGAAACAGAAGAAGAGAAAGCAGATCGATAGGAACTGTGGGATGAGTTGTACAGACCCAAGACGACAGCCTAAATAGGAAATGTTGCCTTTACATGATACCCTGGGCCTGCTAAAAAAGCCATGAAGGGAAGGGAGTAGGGTAGGGAAATGGGTATGAAGCCCAACATGAAGCCCCTCAATTCACCTAATTTTGCTAAATAGTGACATAACGCACTGAACATCACACATTGTTTCTCTCCTGTGCTCTTGTGAAATGACAGAGAGGGGCCAAGCACAGCTCCAGTAAGCTCTGTTGACACCAACCTGTCCCAGCAAGCATCTGTGGCCTTGTCGGACACAACTGGCCTTCATACAGGTGTTCTCCCACCTGGCACCAGCCACCACAGAGCCCAGCGTGCTTGGGCACACGCACAGTAGCATTACTGCTGGTAGTGTTTGAAAACAATTTCCATCTGACCCTCCCCAGTCCACAGGTTCAAAATCTCAGTCAAAACCAGCCAGAGGAGGTTCTGTGCTGTCTTCTGCCCCATATCTCTTCCTCTTCTTGAGCAAAATTCTTCCAGATATCAATCCCCCCTCGAATGAAATTGGTTAAGTTTGCTATTGCAAACAAAACAAAGAAGTCAAAATATTTGCACATGAGTCAGTGCATTGCTCTAAGGTTCTCACACCGTTCCTGCTGCCTTAGCAAAGCCTTCACAAGACAATTATTAGCACTGGCACCGAATCAAAAATCCTTTATATGGTTAAAATAAACCAAGCTGTATATTATCCTTCCTTTAGTAAAACACAGGATAACCATAGCCTGTAGCCATTGCAGAGTTCAGTGCTAACTGTGCTCCTCAGCACAGAGGCTTCACCTCTCTCCAGGTAGGCTATACCACGAAGCCATGACTGCTGTGCAGGCTTTGAAAGGACAAGGAGAAGGTTTCAACCCCTACCGTTTGGTAGAAAGAGGAGATGTTTTCACCAGTCTCTGCTAATTCCACATGAAAAGCCCCCAACACGGAAAGAAATTCATACATCCCATCGTGACACATGCGATCGCAGCACCAGCATCGTTGGGCAGTTATGGAATAAGGATGGACACAGCCTCCGTGGAGGCAACACAACTTTTCAGTGCTTCCACCCACCCAGGGTGGTCTCCCAGGGATGGGTCCTGCCTGGGTGGAGGATGAAGCCTCAGAGGCTCAGAAGCCACCTTGAAACACAGAGGGTGAAACATAGCAGAGCTTGGAGCCTGCAACAGCAGCAGATTCCCCTCCATCGTGGACTCATTAAACCAACTCACGATCCTAGGGATGGGGCTGCTTGTTTGTACTAATTAACTTCTCAGATTGCAGAGTGGCCTGCGGAAAGGGCCTCAGCAAGGGCTGCAAGAGGCCACGTGGTCCTGCTGGTCGATGGCCAGCCTCACACACCTGACCTGCGGGCAGTACCTGCTGCCACATGCGTGGAGAAGCCATGGCTTGAGGCACACGGAACTCATATGAACCAGCTCAAGAGAGCAAAAGAAGGGGATAGCATCCTGTGCTCCAGAGGCTGGTAAACCTGAAGTCTAAAGCTCATCCTACCTGCAAACCACATCCCTTATCTCAAGCAGGCGATGCAACCCCCAGCAGGCATGAGGAGAAACCTCTGTGACCCAGGATGAGGGAACAGTGCCTGAAGAGGAGAACAAGCTAAACGCAGCAAGGATCCAAGGAGAAGGCACTCCTGCCCCAGCACACTTCCACTTCAGCCCATGCCTGCTCCTGCAGCCTCTGAGAGCTGGCAGAGCACAGAAAGCCTCCTGGAGAAAGCAGCTCCCTCCAGGGAACACAAGTCTCAGGCTTCCCTGCCTCCAACAGTATTGCCACATCCTCCTCCCAGGAAAGGCTCTGGACACTTGCTCCTTTTCAGCCACCCAGCACGAAGGCGAACAGGAGTGTTTTCCAACCAAGCCAGAGAGCATCTCCCCAAGCAAAACATGTCTTCAGACTCAAATACTTCTTTGTCAACAGCACAGGAGGACCTATGAACTCCAGCTCACCGCCACCACTCGCCAGATGCTCACCACACCTCCTGAAAGAGAAACATGCTTTTAAAATAACTCCTCTATAAATCAAGGCACTAAATAAAGCCCAGGTGAAGGTCACGTCCGGCCATACCGGCTTTCACTGCTC